AGCGACATAACTAGTGCGATCCCTAAAAGTAGTTAATCCTGAGCCTCAATCTACAAATCCTTTTTATGCTCATTTGAACTTGAAATTATATTTGCAGCTAAATGGCTAAGAAATAAAAAATCTGTAAAAGAAAAATTGCTCTTTTATATACTCGGATGACAGTTTGATTAGCTGCGTGAAGCCGCCAGCCTTATCTATGGCAATAACGGACGTGAGAATTCGACATAGTGCCTCTTTCATTTAAAATGAGATATTTTTGATGGGTGCTAAGAAAGTTCGAAATACTAGGACAAACAAATTATGTAGGGAGTTTAAAATGTCAAAAAATAGAAGGTAACTAAGGGAATCCAACAAAAAGCACGACTTACTTTGAGTATAACATATGATTCTTTATGTTTTCTTGAAATTAAGTATCAGAATTTTTTATCATGATCTGATAGAATTAGTACAAGGCTTCAAAGATTATCACTGTAATTAGCATTATCGTTGGAAGTACTTTTGCTATAACAAAGATACCTCTTTTCAAAGAGAAAAATTAGGCTTTTTTATTTCATGTCAATATGCTGCGGGATATATATATATATATATATATATATATATATATCATGGTAAAGTAATTAAATTAACTAACAGTTTTGTGTGTCGGAAAATCCCTGATTTACCTGGTATCAAGAAATTTTTACATTCAAACCCAGAGGGCGTGAATTATTCATCGTAGGAATCAAGCTTAGTTAAATGGAAACGGTAAATCAAAAGAGCATAATATTTAAATACCTCTTTTTTTACAAAATCGTTTAACATTAACAACAATCAACTAAGATATCTTTTGAGTGTCCTCAACAGTTTTTTTCTTCATCAAAAATGTCGAAGTACACAATATTTGAGTGCTCGCTTCCTAGCCTATCTTTTTCCTTAGTCCTTAAGCTCTTTATTATAAGCTGAGAAATGACTTAAGAGTTTTCTCTGATGTCATCAATAATCTCATTGCTTTTGTTTTATTACTAAAAAGGACGTTAATAAGAATCATGACAAATTATCGCCTATGATTACATGTTACTAGCTAAGTGCGTGCTATTGTCA